CAAACGTTGGAATTTGCTGCAGCGGCAAGAACCCCCGAGAATAGGTTACTTGGGCTCAAGCGACAGGAGTTTGCTAAGCACATCACCAAGGTTGCGATGGCTGTATTTGGCCTACTTCATACATACAACACAAAGGGTATTATGTACAAACTAGAAACCTCCTGAGAGTCGAAGTAGCTAATACCGGTACACAGTGGGTGATGATTATATTCGAGGTGTTTCAGGGGGCGAACGAAAGCGAGTTAGGTCAGTATGCCCTGTATATCATGATTGCTAGTGCTCTCCTGACTTGCATACAGTATAGCTGAAATGGCACGTAAGTAATAAGTCGCTCTTACTTTGGTGACTTTGCAATTGACATTATACCAGTTTCTGGTGCACCTATGGGGGCATGGGATAACAGTACCAGAGGTCTGGACTCTGCAAGCGCATTGGAGTTTGTCAAAGCACTGCGGCTATCCTCCAATTTGGTTGGCACTAGTCATGCGGTTGCAATTTATCAGGCCTCACAGGCAATCTATGATGTCTTTGACAAAGCTATCGTTCTATACGAAGGACGAGAGATTTATTTTGGACCATGTGATGAAGCAAGAGACTACTTCACCGGTATGGGCTGGCATTGTCCACCACGCCAAACTACTGGGGATTTCTTGACAGCCGTTACCAACCCGCAGGAGCGTCAAGCACGGGATGGAATGGAGAACAAGGTCCCTCGCACCCCAGATGAATTTGAGAAGTACTGGAAAAGGAGCCCGCAATATGCCGCGCTCCAGAGAGAAATCGATGAGTATCATATGGAGTTCCCAGTGGGAGGAGAAGCGGAGCAAAACTTTGGTGAAATGAAGAGAGTTAAACAGGCAAAGCATGTTCGACCGGAGAGCCCTTATATCATTTCAATTCCAATGCAAATCAAACTCTGCACAATCAGAGCCTATCAGCGGTATTTATCCATTCCTTGATCCTTCCGATACGCTTGTTGCAATCATTTCTATGCTAACCAGCTTAGACTCTGGAATGACAAGCCATCCACACTGACAACGGTCCTCGGGAGAATTTTCATGGCTCTTATAATTGGTTCCATGTACTTCGGGTGAGTGTTTCTATACCATCCTTATTCCTAGTACATTTCTAACCTTCATAGAACACCCACTGCTTCGGCCGGATTCTATAGCAAAGGGGCCGCTCTTTTCTTTGCTGTCTTGTGCGTATGCCCTTGGATATCATATATTGTCATAGTGACCTAAATGATCTTATGAAAAACCCAAATCCCGAACTAACCTCGCTGTTTAGAATGAATGCTCTCATCAGTATCACCGAGATCAACTCTCTCTATGATCAGCGTCCTATAGTTGAGAAGCAAGCATCCTATGCTTTTGTCCACCCTTTCACTGAAGCATTTGGGGGCATCGTAAGCGATATACCAGTGAAGCTGGTCTCAGCCGTGATTTTCAATATCATCTTTTACTTCCTGGCCGGATTGGTAGGTAACGACTAGCCATCCCATATAGAAGTTGCTAATACAAGCCTACAGCGATATGAGCCGTCTCAATTTTTTATTTTCTTCTTATTTACGTTTCTCAGTACACTCGCAATGTCGGGAATCTTTCGGACCCTTGCAGCTGCAACCAAGACCCTTGCGCAAGCTATGGCCATGGCTGGTGTATTAGTTCTCGCCATCGTCATCTATACAGGCTTCGTAATTCCTGTTCCACAGATGCATGACATCCCGTGGTTTAGCTGGATCCGATGGATTAATCCCATCTTCTACACGTTTGAGTCCATGATAGCCAATGAATTCCATGGTCGACAGTTCATATGCTCGCAGTTTGTGCCTGCTTACCCAAGTCTTAGTGGGGACTCCTTCATCTGCTCCGTCAGAGGTGCTGTTGCAGGGGAAAGGACTGTTTCTGGGGACGCTTTCATTGAATCGCAGTATAGGTACACATACACGCACGAATGGAGGAATCTTGGCATTCTGATAGGCTTCTGGATCTTCTTCTCTGTGATCTATCTACTAGCCACGGAGATCAATTCCCAGACTTCTTCAAAGGCTGAGTTCTTGGTGTTTCGACGGGGCCATGTGCCAGCACATATGCGCGACCTTGACAAAACCCAAGGTGACTCTGGATCTACAGAAGTCGCTCAGTCGCATAAGGAGAAGGAAACTGAGAATGCTGCATCCGTTATACCAAAGCAGCGGAGCATATTTACTTGGCGAAATGTGTGCTATGATATCCCTGTGAAAGGGGGACAGCGGCGTCTATTAGACCATGTCTCCGGGTGGGTTAAACCTGGTACACTTACCGCATTGATGGGTGTATCAGGAGCTGGTAAAACGACCTTGCTTGACGTTCTCGCTAAGCGTGTTTCTATCGGCGTCGTGACAGGTGATATGCTAGTAGACGGGAAAACGCTTGACAATAGCTTCCAGAGGAAAACAGGGTATGTGCAGCAGCAAGATCTCCACCTTGCCACAACAACTGTGAGGGAGGCGCTACGGTTCAGTGCACTCCTACGTCAGCCAAAATCAGTCTCGAAGAAGGAGAAGTACGATTATGTCGAGGAAGTTATAGAGATGCTCAATATGCAGGACTTTGCTGGCGCTATTGTTGGGACACCGGGTGAAGGCTTGAATGTTGAGCAGAGGAAGCTTTTGACAATTGGGGTGGAGTTGGCTGCAAAGCCTGAATTGCTGATTTTTCTTGATGAACCAACTAGTGGTCTTGACTCTCAGAGTTCCTGGTCTATTGTAGCCTTCTTGCGGAAGCTCGCAGACCATGGCCAAGCAGTGCTTTCTACGATTCACCAACCGAGTGCGCTTTTGTTTCAGCAGTTTGACCGTCTCTTGTTTCTGGCAAAGGGCGGAAAGACTGTCTATTTTGGAGAAATCGGCGACCAGTCTCGAACTCTACTTGACTATTTTGAAGGAAATGGGGCAAGAGCCTGCGGTTCGGAAGAGAATGTAAGTGTATGCTTTCGTCTTCATTGATAACATACTAACATGGTAAAGCCGGCCGAATATATGCTGGAAATCATCGGAGCCGGCGCCTCTGGTAAAGCCTCAAAGGACTGGTCTGCCGTATGGAATGAAAGCCGCGAATCTAGTGATGTCCAAAAGGAGATTGACCGGATTTATCAAGAGAGAGCTTCGGCATCCAATAGTGATGGCGACACCCGTCACGGAAAACCTGCGGAATACGCCATGCCGTTTATGTACCAGCTGTGGTACGTAACTCATCGTGTCTTCCAACAGTATTGGCGAGAGCCTGCCTACATATGGGCCAAGATCCTTCTTGCTACCCTCTCGTCGCTTTTCATTGGCTTCACATTCTTCAAGCCCAATAGCAGCCAGCAGGGTTTCCAGGACATCTTGTTCAGTGCCTTCATGCTGACTTCCATCTTCTCAACATTGGTACAACAGTATGTGACAGCCTCATTCTCTATGTGTAATTACCAGCTAACACAGATATCAGAATCATGCCAAAATTCGTGGTCCAACGATCCCTATACGAAGTAAGGGAGCGACCATCGAAGGCATACTCGTGGGCAGCGTTCCTTATCGCCAACGTAATAGTTGAGATACCTTACCAGATATTTGCCGGAATAATCTCATGGGCATGCTACTATTATCCTATCTACGGTGCCAACCAGGCATCTCACCGGCAAGGTCTCATGTTACTCTTCGTCATCCAGTTCTACATGTTCACCTCGACATTCGCAACATTTATTATATCCGCACTGCCCGACGCAGAGACAGGAGGTACCATCGCAACATTGCTATTCATCATGGCCACCACCTTCAATGGTGTCATGCAACCACCGAACGCTCTCCCAGGGTTCTGGATCTTCATGTATCGAGTATCCCCTTTAACATACCTAATCGCGGGCATGACAGCAACAGGATTACACGGCCGGGCAATCCGATGTGACACAGCCGAACTAAGCGTCTTCAACCCACCCTCCGGCTCAACCTGTGGCAACTACCTAGCCCCGTATCTCCAGTCTGCACCAGGTCTGCTGTACAACCCCAGCGCAACACAAGGATGCGAGTACTGTCAGCTTCGTAATGCCGACCAATACCTAGCGAGCAGTAACATCTGTAAGTACTTCAACCGGAATCTAGGCCGCAGGCTAACTAGTGGACAGACTACAGTGAGAGGTGGCGAAATTACGGACTGGGCTGGGCTTACATCGGCTTCAATGTCATGGGTACTGTTGCTCTGTATTACCTCTTCCGAGTTAAGCATTATAACCCCACTAGTTTGGTGCGGGGTATTGCGAATGGTGCAAAATTGGTTTGTCGGGTATTTAAGAGACGGTCTGGGACGACGCCTAAAGGTAGGGAGGCTGAGAATGGAAGGTTGGTCTGAACGCATCATGGTGTTTTTCTAAGGAGTGACGATATATATCGCGCTGCATTTGTTTCATAATACTGTTTCATAAATTCATACACACACAAGGTTTAAACTATGTATACTAACGCAACAGAAATGCTATGAATGTATAACATTATTGAAAGAAATGATGAAAGAATGCCGTAGCATCGTCATTTGAGCCACTCTTTGGTGTATGTAGTACATTAGGTGCGTATAGACAAAGGGTGAGTTACAGCAATCCTAGTAAGCTTTTCAGTTGATCTGTAAAACATTAAATACAGGAGTACTACAAGCAGTGAATCAGATAACCTACTGGTTCATAGCCATAGCATCATTGGTCTAGTGGTAGAATTCATCGTTGCCATCGATGAGGCCCGTGTTCGATTCACGGATGATGCACTCACTTTTTGAGTGAACTCTTTTTTTTATATATATTTTTTTAAATCACCCACCTACCTATATCTATATCCAAAACACTTACGGTACTATTACTATAAACTAAACTATAGTCTGTGTACCTGTTAAGCTTCCAATTGATCATCTCGTTATGATCCAGTTATGTAAACCTTTATATATCCACTATTGTTATCTAGGAAGTGGGTACTGTAAGGGACGAGGACTAAATTCATGGTCGAATACCACACGGGCACTCACATTTAAATTAATTAGACTATTCCTATGGAAATAACTGCAGTCAATACATATTGTGATGTTAACATAAGCCGTGGCCAGGAAGGAGGTGGCTATCAGCCAAACCGAACAGCCTGTACAAGCGGTAAATTTGAGCAGGTGTGATAGTGGGACATAGGCGATGGAAAGGACAAAACATGGGGTATTATGCAAATTAAACAATAAACTAGGGGATATCGTAATGGTGATTGTCGTTAAATACTCGAAATGTCTCGCAAAAATGGGTCAATCTCCGATTTGGAATTTTGACTGGGAGGAGTTCCGAGGGATTTGAAGAAATGGAGCAGCGATTAACATGATGGAGATGGCCGTGCGACAACCAATGCGTTGATCACATTACCCTGTTTCCATCCTTGATCGACTAAGGGTAAATGTTCTTTGAGGATTTTGCCCAAGTAGGCGATTTTTACGCGCTGTGTTTTGGGGATCTGGGTGGAAACGTTGCGCGTTAGTTATGAGATATAACATATGTCTCATTTGACATACCTCGGCTTCCTGTTGTAATCTGCGGGCGATATAAGCAACATTCTGCGTTTTGCCGACAGTCACGACCATGTCAGGCCCGCCTCTATCGCTTAGTCGTGCTTTCACGCGGATTAAATCTCGCTCGCTGACCTTGCCCTTCTCATCTCTGCGACGCTCGGCATCGTCTGCAATAAGTTCGTCCCCCGATTCCTCGTCCAATGATAACTTGCCGTCGTCGGTGTCGAAATCATCTTCTGCGAGGTTGGATTTTACCAAGTTCTCTGGATCGCTCACAATGCACTGTGGTAACCTATAGAGGACCCCTTGCTCATCATAGACACCCTGACACAAGTCACCCGTAGGCACCGTGACTCCGGCAGCGTCAATGATGCTCTGAGCCGTAGTGAGATCACCCGTCTGCATGAGCGAGATCGCCGCAGACAGCGCGGCCCAGATCTCAGGTTTACCCGTCACCCGCGTCTCGAAGAACTCCTTGCGCTCCTGATCCAGCTGCGCACGATTCCACAGTCGTCGCTTGCTATACCAGACATGACGGCGGATAGGGGCGTTGAAATTCTCATTTAGGGGGAGATTATCCGGGGAGGAACGAATGACGACACGCGCCGAGTTAGAAGGGATAGCGGTGGCGGCGGTTGAACTCACTCCACGAGAGGACGCTTCCGGACGGCGCTCTTCGGTGGCTGCCTGGGTTGCATATGCGGAGCGGTTGTCACGCGAAGTGGACAAGCAACAACCCTGTAAGGAAGAAAGTCAAAATAGAGCCACTAAAATGGGGTCTTTAAGATGAAGTTGGTTGACGTGGAGGGGGTGCGAATCTGCAAGGATGGTGCTTGTTTCGCTAATGGGAGGGAACCAATCGTCGCACAAGGTGGAAACAGAGAAAGAGCTTAGCATTAGTAGGGAGGACTGTACCATCTTGTAGATATTGAAGACTGGACTCCATTCAGCCAGAAAGCGTAATGCGAAAAGCTCTAAGATTCCCAAGATTCCCTGGTATGGGAACGGAGACGTAGTTGTGGAAGAGTGAAAAAAGGCCGAAGATGAGAACGGAGGTACACCGTTTGGAATGTACTGTTTGTATGTACCTGAGCGGAAATCGTATGACTGACTCTGGGGAATTAATGGCCCACGGTCGAGAACCGTCGCATGACGTATTTGGTATGGACTGATAAGAAGCTGGAATGATAAGCGTCGTGAGTAGGAGATTCGTCTTCTAAACAAGGCGCTGGGAGAAGCTTAGGACAGAAAAGGAGTCCGAAGAGGAGAGGAAGAGAAAGAGGAAGAGGAAGAAGAAGAAGAGGAGAAGGGAGTGCAAAGAATACGATGAATTTTTATAAAAGGAAAATCTGGAGAAGAGGGGAACCGAAATTTTTTTAAAAAAAAAAGATTCAATCTATGATTGAATGAGAGGGGAAAAGGAAGCGTAAGAGGCATACGTATGTATACTATGAATTACTCCGTACTCCGTATATCTTACTTTGAAAAAACCTCACGCTAGGAATTCCCAAAGGATGGTTCGCCGTAAAAAAAAAAAAAAAAAAAAAAAAACCAAAGCTTACCATAACGTGACTGCTTTTATTACCACTGCCCTTTGTAGCCTCTCATCTCTCTTTCTCTCTCCCTTTCTATCTATAATTCAATTGACCCCTGGTTCCGAGAACCTCTCATCCATACTATAGCCAGACCGATGTTTTCTTAGTTGAACGTGAATACGGAGTACTAACTACTAATTAAATGTGGTCTCCACCATCCACGCCGTTGCGGGTTTGGTTCTTAATCTTTGCCATTGTGGAGATCAAATTGTGATTCGTCTTCTACTAACTATGCTTGTCACGCGGATCAGCACTTGAGGTGTTCGTCATCCATCCTTCTAACTCTTTTCCTTTCTTTTTCCCTCTAGACCCTTTTCAAATTACATATTGCTTTACCCCGTACAGATCTTTTCTGTTCCTCTCCTGAAGGAAATCTGACATCATATGCAATAGACCGCAGTGAGAAAAGGAGAATACTAATCTGGTTGCTCAACTCTCATCATCCTCGTCATCACTTCCAAATATCGCCTTGAAAATTTCCTCGCCTGGTCGCTCCGCCTCCAACGCTTCGTTGCGCTCAGGCTCCACTACGATCAGTTTAGGTTTTTCGACAGCGCCACTGCTAGCGCCTGCTTCAAGCAGAAGTTGATCCATAACTTCCTGCGAGACCAATTCCTTAGGCCCAGTAGTCTGATATCCTGCAGACTGGAACCGACCCCCGGACGCGGTTTCTGAAGGTTTGATCGGATCGCTGGAGTCCGATTGCACATGGTCCGGAGGTTTTATATTAAACCGCTTGCACAAAAGACGCGTCGGATAGAACGAAATGTTGCTCCGAGTCATCGGCCCAAACATACCGATCTTCGCGGCCGTTACGGCAGGGTCTTCGGGCTTCTTGGCAGGGTTATGAAGCAACGAATCCGTCGCAGATGATTCCGCCTCATTTGAGGATCCTTTTGGTCCACTGGAGGCAGACGTGAATCGCGACGCCATGGCCCCGGACATCGGCTTGAAGACCTCTGCAGCGCGAGCGAACTCGTGGAGCTCAGCAACCCACTCGTCGGTGCTCGACCCGGAAACCCGATCCGGAAGACTTTCTCGGAGTCCCGCCCGGACTTGAAGAAAAGTTCGATATCGAGATCGCTTATCTGGATCCTCGGAATAAGGCATCCAACCACTGGCCGCTCGGGTCAAAGCCTGAACTGCTACTTGCTTATCCAATTTGGGGACAAGATCCCACAAGTCCTTCCTCTTCTGCGCCTCTGACATTTCGTATCCTTCTGGAGCTTTCTCGCCCAATGCTGGCGGTAGGTCAGTCTTCCCTGTTAGTTTGACGATCCTCTCCCTGGACTCAGGGGTCATCCAATCAAATATAGATTTTCCGGGAAGTTGCGTTTCCCCTAAAAGCGCAGCTCGTGACGTGGGGTCTAAAGAAGAAGCTTTAGCTGCCTCAGCCGTAGAAACGTATTTAGATGCATCTCTGTTTTCTGATGGGGTCTTGCTGCATTTCCAATCTTTAGGAACCTCGGGGGGTGCGTATTTCTTCTCCTGTGCGGAAATCGTTAGGCTGGAGATGCCGTCCGCTAGCACAAACCCATCTAAGGGCAAGCGGCCATCGTGGCATTTTCTGAAACCAGTAGAATTCCTAGCGGCAATTGCCTTCTTGGATATAAATACCGGTTTGTTGTTCAATAGAGGGTTTGATGCCACCTTCGGTTTTACGTCTTCCAGCAACTTTTTCTTCTTTTTTTTGTCTTTCCCAATGACCCGATTATACGAGATCTGAGGCCCTAAGGAATATGGGTCCTCGTCATCTGAACCGGTGTCATTCAGCACACCGACACCAAATGCCCCGCGTCGCGGCTCCTTTGGGGCTGACCGCTTGGAAACACCATGAGTGGTCAGTCGCCGCCCAAAGAATGGATCGGCATCTTCATCAGACTCGCCGCCCCCGGCTTTTTGGGAGCCAAGACGAGACTCGCCTTCAAACCCAAGCCCTTTGTGATCTGTCTTATGTACGAAAGCCACCATGCGTGAATTCTCCGGCGCGAACAAGTATGTCTTGTCAGTGCCTCCGCCACCGTAGGCTGCGTCGTCGTCAAGATGAGCTCTGCGTCGAACCTTGGGACCAACGCCTTGGCCCTCTTTCCAGCCCATCTTTTTCAACAATTTGACCCCCATTGTCTCACCGCCACTTTTGAAAAGGTCCATTAGCCCTCCCCGGCGGCTGGGGTCGACATCCGTGGACCCAAACCCGGAAAATTCATCGGTAGTGTGTAGATTTCGAGATTCTTCAGCCTCCCGGATATCCTCTTCGTCCATGAAGTCTTCTACCCGTTGTTGTCGAGCATCCTTTGCTCGGCTCTGTCGCGAGGAAACAAAAGTCGAGGGAGTCCATCCTTCCTTTGATCCGACGGTGTTGAAGTACCTGAAAGAGGCGACCACCTTTAGTGTGCTGCCCAACACTATCCATGAATCGTGAGCTCACCCGGCACTAAATCCACCGGTGAAGGCACCATGGAGGCGTTTCCTTCCCCGGTCATCTGTCACCTCCTGTTTCCAGATCGGCACATAAGATCCATCGTCGCGGACGCTGGTATCTAGCGGCGGAAGAGGAGTCCCGTAAAAGACATAAGGAGACTCCTGTGCCTGCAGATCAGCCTCAAAGGCTGCGCGAGCCCTTTTGCCGGACATTTGCAGGTTACGCGACGCTAGACTTTGCCGTTAAAAGCAGGTCATTTTGTACTAGTGTGATGACATATCAGTCAACCCAGTCCAGAAGAGCAATCAGACACATACGAGCCCAAGCATACCTAAGTAGAGCAACGCAGTTAATGTGATGCTAAATCCAAGCCCAAGCCCACTACAACGGCGGTAACTTTGGTTGTCGCTGCAACGGCAGAGGTGCATTGACGCCGATGGCACATCAGCTGGAATGCATCATGGGTCTTTCCAGACTATATCATGTGACGAGGCGGTGCTCTTTTACAAACACGCCACATATATGTGGCGGAAGCACGTGTCACGAGGATGTGTTAGACTCTGTAGATGCCGAGTACTAGTGGTACGGTAAGAAGGTACAAATTGAACTTGGTTGGAATGGATGCAACCTAGGCTCTTTCCGAGGGCGAACTCCGTCCCGATCCATCACATTTCTAATGCTTAGTCCGGGTTCCCAGATCACCGTAGTCTGAGACAATGATTCAGTTATCCTTATCAATATTACAAAAGGGGCTTGTGCCCCTAAATACGAGTAGAGTTGCGAATATTTACCTTGCTCTAAGTTGACAAAGAACCCCAGCGGCCCAGTTCGCTCGAGAGGTTCGATGAAGAGACAACAACCTTAATCCTATGCAGTAGGGTAGGTTGAAGAATGACGTTGCGGTATGCACCGTTAGATACCCGAATCTATAGAAATGCTTCATTCTTCAATTCGATTCAGTATTTTGGACCCAAGCTACGTACTCCGTACTCTCTGTTCAATTGGGCTTCGTCCTTACAGACTATGTTTATAATTGTACATACATTCAAGGTCTGGACAGATGTATATATGTATATATATGTAAGCCCAGCCTCATTATAGATCGAAAACCCTGTTTTAATCACAGACAATGCCTCCGTGGTGACGTCAAGCTATTATGTACAGTACATCAGGTTCAAGCAACTCTTTGTACTGGTGCCCGAAGCACCACCACTTTATACCCCCACGTGAATGGTTGAGATATGCACAACGAGTCTTTCAGAATGGACCACACGGATACAGTAAATCGAGATTTCTTTAGTGGCTCACCTGAGTTCACGAGCCTATAAAGATCATTTCTTGCTACAGCAGTCTTGCAGCTAATAAAGAGCTGATGGGATCATCTGGCTGTTCACAGGTACATAGATGTCATACGGACATACCCCATACATACATACATACGCAATACGAGATACTCGTATTAATGCTTCAGTTTCCCCCCCATGATACCTTATCATGGTGAGTTTTAACTTTTTGCTTTTTTAAAAAATTTTGTTGTCCGTACGCAACCGACATTCGGCTAGGCTTTGAATTTCCCCTGCATATTAACATTGCTAGGGATAATCGAAATTATGTTAGGAGAACAAGGTTACGATGTAGTACTGTACATGATAATTTAAGTAACAAAATGGGCCAGTTATAAGTCACCTCCACATGGTGCCCCAATTGGGAAAACAATAGACTATCGCAATATCGATTACCACGTCCACTTTAAACCCGTGGTACTAAACATAGTACAGATGGTACTAACATACCTGAACGGTACCGTTGTGACTGATTTGCGGCCCCCTGGCCCCGTGTCTCTTTCTCCGCAGCCGCATCCATCGTTAAGTCAAACTAACCCACTGCTTGTTTCTCACTACGTATCATCCCACTTGCTTTCTGTTTTTCTCTTTCCTCGTGTTCAGTCTTCCCAGTCCTCCTTTTTTTATTTAGTTCGTCTTTCTTTCTGTTTTGTTTTTGT